TTTGACAGGGGTTGGCTGGTAAATGATCACACTGGGGGTGGGAGGCAGGAAATGTAATTGTGTACAGGGAGGAAAGACTGGCAGCCGGGAAGAGAGTTGGTCTTCAGCTGTGATCAGGACTGCTGAAGGACATGCTTAGAGCAGATCACAGGGCAGCTTGAGGTTGCGGAGTGTGAGTCACTAGCAATGCCTCTGGGATCCTGATACCAAGGTGAGTGGAAGGTCTGCAGTGTAGAGACAGTAGGTGTCACCTTGACCTGTCATCTTGAGTCAGCTACTCTGTTCTCAGCAGTTACCCAGCCTGGGGACTCAAGCTTCAGGTCAGGAAGCTGCATACTGCCTGTTTACCTTAAGTAAAGGCCCAGTGGATGCTTTGAAGCAAAGCTGGGCATTGTGGCACACACCTGTAATCCTGGCTAGGGGCAGGGGGAGCTAGAGGTTGCAGGGGGAGGGGCGGAAGACAGGAGCAACGGCAATTTATCAGCTTAGTAAGATGCTATCTCAAAATAAAAAAACACAGGATTTGGGATGTAGCTCAGTGCAAAGGTCCTGGGTTCGATCCCCAGGACTGCAAAAAACAAAAGCAGAAAAAAAAAAAAAAAACTACAAAGGAATGATCTACCTAATACACTGTAGAGTGAAAAGAACATTATATAGTATACTACTACCATTTATGTAAGGATAATAGAGAATAACATAAATATGTATTAGTCACAGAATTATTTATAAAAGACATGTATTATCAAGGTATAAATTAAGAGGTAGTGGGGTAGGGTTGGGGAAGATGAATAGTCACATTTTAGTCATCTGCCCCTTCTCTCTGTCCTCTTCAGCCTGAATTCTGAGTTCCTAACCCAGGCTCTCCTTTGTAGATGGCCTTTGACTGCAAGTAGATGGAGCCACCACAGATTTATCATTTACTTTAAATATGTGTTTATAGTTCTTCTCAACCCCCTCTGCGATCAGCTTGGAGGTAGTGAGAATCTGCTGGGCCTCCTGGAGGCTGAGGCTGGAGAAGTTGGGTGCAGCTGCAGATTTGTTTTAGTTACTTCTCTCTCATTAGTTTCTTGTGTGTCTTCCTAAGTATATTCTGTGGTCCCAGAGGCAGAGTGGCCCAGATTACTGTGATGTGTGTGCAGGTGGTGCGTATAGCCTTTGTTTGAGCCCTGTGGCAGAAATTTGCAGCCAACTGGGCACCAGCTCATGCCCAGAACATGTGGGACACTAGTCTTGTTATGGTTTGTGTCCACATGTCCCCCCAAAGCCTCATGCATTTTTTGATGGGGAATTTTTCGAGGTTAGCTGAATCTAGAGTTTGTGACTAATTCATGGTTCAGAGCTAGGATTAAGGGTTCTGGACTTAAGGGTGGGTGATTGCTGGGTCATTTTACTGATTGGATTGTACCAGTCTCGATAAGATAAGAGGGTCAGAAAGTGGCTTGCCTTCCATCTCTCTTTTGCTACCACCAGTTCTTCCACCATGAACTGTGGCTCCCCTGCTGTGTGCCATCCTGTCTTGCAGCCAATTGATTATGGACTGAAACCTCTACAAACTGTGAACTAAATGAAACTTTCCTTCCTGAACTTTGACACCCAAGAAACTAGGGACATGGATTCCTTCTGGGGAAGGAAACCTGTTTTTATTTGGTTTCACAGTATGTAATAAATTAAGAAAAAAAACAACAATGTGTAATAAATTCCCACTGCAATGGTGCTACTCAAACTAACAACTGGCGTATACCTGGGATACCAGCTCATCAGAACTAGATGCTGTAATTTTACATTC